CTTGCATCTGCTTTTTTAAAATTCACAAAAAGTGGATGAATACCTATTTTATTTGATTTGATAACAACAGTTTAAAATAAATCAGCCTGTTCAGCTTACTGAGCAAGAAATGTTCATAAAAAAAACCCAGTATACTTTCCTTTATAAAAGTGTAAACAAACTACATAAAATTGAACATAAAATGAAACTCATCATAAAGCAAATTGATATAGATTATATTATTGAGCAAAGTGTTATACGAGAGATGCTGTTCTTCGGGGAGGAACATCATCTTCGAACTTTAAAGAGAATACAAGTGAAGAAAGCCAGTTGCAAAGCTACATGACATAAATCTTGCATCTGCTTTTTTAAAATTCACAAAAAGTGGATGAATACCTATTTTATTTGATTTGATAACAACAGTTTAAAATAAATCAGCCTGTTCAGCTTACTGAGCAAGAAATGTTCATAAAAAAAAACCAGTATACTTTCCTTTATAAAAGTGTAAACAAACTACATAAAATTGAACATAAAATGAAACTCATCATAAAGCAAATTGATATAGATTATATTATTGAGCAAAGTGTTATACGAGAGATGCTGTTCTTCGGGGAGGAACATCATCTTTGAACTTGATCTTTTTTACTCACTGTGACTAATTTAGATGATTCTTTGTCTCGTCGCCGATTAGGACAGACTAATAGGAAAGAGATGTGGCTTCGCATTGAAAGGTCTGGAACTAAAGATAAGCTACTTAATGTGAGTTTTGGCATGCCTGCGTAGAGTTGACGAGTGAGTGAAAGTCTTCCCACATGCAGTGCATGTGGTACGGTTTCTCTCCGCTGTGGATCCTCTCGTGTGTTTTCAGATGACCTGAACGACTGAATATCTTGTCGCAGTGTGTAAATGTAAATGTGCCTTTTAAAGGTTATTTGTTGTGTGAAGCTCTTCCCACACTGATCACATGTGAACGGTTTCTCGCCAGTGTGGACGATCATGTGTGTCCTAAGGTTAACGTGTTGTCTAAAACTCTTCCCACACTGATCACATGTGAGGTTTCTCTCCAGTGTGGATCCTCATGTGAATCTCGAGACTGTTTGCGTGTGAAACTCTTTCCACACTGACGGCAAGTGATTTGAGATTTTTGAGAGCTTTCTTTCTCCACTTCATTCTCAGCCATTAGGTCTGAAATTAGAGTTTAAATCAATCAAAGAGAAGTAAAGTAATATATAACACCCTGATGTAATAGCAGAAAGTACTTAGTTGTGTTCAAACAATTGTTATACAAGATTATGATCATTTTGATCCATTATGTCCCTGGAATTTTCCATGAAGGGGGTACATCAAGGTACTAGATATTAGGTTTTTTATTCATTAGAGGCACAAACCTTTAGAGCCCATAATAACGGAACATTATGATGTAAAGAAAAATAATATTTCAATGCTTACAGTGCATCCGGAAAGTATTAACAGCGCTTCACTTTTTCCACATTTTGTTATGGTACAGTCTTTATTCCAAAATGGATTAAATTCATTATTTTCCTCAGAATTCTACAAATAATACCCCACAATGACGACGTGAAAGAGGTTTGCTTGAAATCTTTTCAATGAATTCAAAATAAAGATGGAATTTTGAGGAAAATAATGAATTTAATCCATTTTGGAATAAG